CCGTTCCTCTGCTAGGTCAGGTCCCTGCTGCAGGGGGCTTCCTTTTTTGGGTCTTTTAGCTGTGGGCCTTCCCTCTGGATTTTATCACTGGCATCGGCATCCTTAGCTTAATGACCATATTCTCAGGTTATCCACTCGCCTTCTTGCAAGATGGGAATGATTGCAAAACAGCTGCTCTTTGGAGTTCTGGTTGCCTCAGCACATTGATACCTGGATGCAACGACATTTTTACACCCTTCTTTAGTAGCTCAATTGGGTATCACCGATGGGATCTTGTAATTATCTCCTTACCTGCATTGTCTTCTCAACTACTTTGGTACTTTGGAGTAAAATGCTTGCTAAGGATACAGTTTTCATATAAAAAATCCAAACTTAGCATAGGAATTAAGATGTGATTACAGATCCACCACCTCTTATCTGTAATTCTGAAATACCCAGAGCTCTGAATAACCTCAAGCTCTTTTGTTACTTATTTGGCAGCAAAGTCTGACTTGAACTCTAGCAAAACCTGACCTGAACTCTCTTATTTATTCCCTTTAGTGCGACTATTCATCCATTTTGCTGCAAAATTATGAATGCATTTTTATTACAGGGTGCTATCCAGGCCCTACCCTCGGGTGTTACATAATACAAAGTATATGCACCATTTTACCTTTCTGAATTCTGGAAACGCATTCCGCCTCAAGATCAGGGGACTGTAGATCTATTTTGGCATTGTAAAGTACTGAAATCCCATTGCACCAATTGACCACTTATAGATCATCAAACCTTTGAAGTTTGGGGAAACATGCAAATCATGGTAATTTCCCCTGGCAGTTGAACATTCACTGGTAATGCAAATGCAGTTTAATTGAAGATACATTTTATATTAATGAAAAAAACTATAGAATTCCACCCCTAATATATTTCTCAGAGCTATCTCTATTTGTTCCCCAGCCCTGCTTCTACTGTGTGAGTTCAGGCCGCCATCTTTTGCTTGCAGTACTGCAATTACCTCTTCAGTGTTCTTCCTGCCATCTGTCTTGCCCTTCCCCCAGGTCTTCTACACAGTGCAGCCAAGTCATCCTGCTGTTAAAATCTTTCAAGACTCCCTGCTCCCCTCTGGATGAAGTCCAGATCCTTCCATGTGATTTACATGGCCTTTTTTGCATATGCCTCCAGCCTTGTTACTTACTGTTTCTTTCCTTTCACTTGACATTCATCCTGAACTTCCTTTGGTTCTTTGAACTTGCCTCTGACCTTTCTCCATGCAGTTCCTTCTTTCCTTGTTTCTCTGGCTTACTCTGATTTCAACTTCTGGGCTTGTATCAGATGTTACTTCTTTTAGAAACTCTTCCTGGACTCGCTAGTGGACTCATAGCACCCTGAGTGGATGTTGGTCCATCACCAGTCTACTCCCTCCATGATGGGAGGGATTATGTCTACCTTGCTTCCAGTAGAGTTTCCCCAAGTCAGTGCTTAAGAAATATTTAGCTGATGAATACATGATTGATTTCACAGGAATTTGATTTATATACAAATTTACTTATTGTATTATGGAAATCATATGTTAACAGTGTGAGTTTTGTTACTCTACAGTATAATTTAAGATAGATGCAGTGGGATTTTCAAAATTTGGAGTGCAATGCAAGGAAATTGGTCCTTTGGAATTTTGATGGTTAAAGATTTCCCATTTGTAGTCACATACTAATGAATGTGACTTACCATTTTCTGGTATGTAGAGAATTGTAGTAAGTTCGTTGTAACATCTAGTTCTATATAACAAGGCTAGTCCCGCATTCTGGCAGGTGGCCCATGGAAACAGTGCTCTAGTCTGGTTCATGATGAAATCTGTTCAATTCTGTATAACAGATGCTTTCACCAGTGTCCTTCTGTGAAGGAGCTGATCTTTACAAAGGAAACATTGTTTTGCAGCTCACCACTTACAGTATTGTTACATCTAAATTTTTTGTGAAATTCTTAAAGATTGCTGGCTTTGTATTGATGTTTTTCATACTGTGGCTCTCTTCAGGCTGCCTTAGCTCTGAGACTAACCCGTGAATCTCCTTTCCCTGCTGTGGCCTTACATGAGCTTCCCTCTGTTCATTCCCAAAGTTTTTTCCCCTAGTTGCACATAGGGATGTATTTGTTAAGGCATAGGCTAAGCTACTATAACAAAAAGACCCCAATACAGTCCATGCAGGTGGAACAGATATTACATGTCATACTTCAGGGACCCGGTTTCCTTCCATCTTGTGGCTCCCCTATCCCGTAGGATGCTGTATTCTTTGATGTACTTGAACTTGAGCCGTTTCATGCCTTTGCTTTCCCCGAGTGGTAGGAGAAAAGAGCAGAAAGTCAAAGCAGACACATTTTTATGTAGAATGATACAGAAGTGGGATACATCGTTTCCTCTTGCATTTTGCTTACCAGAGCTTTGTCACATGACTACACATCTGTACTATCTAGCTCCATGGCCTATATGCAGTTAAAATTCTTGCTACTATGGAGGAAGGGAAGAGTAGATTGGGGGCAAGTTATATAGTCTGCTGCAGAGATTAAAACAGAGTAGGTTTGAAGCCAGGCTCCCTAGATCCACCTCCTGTACTGTTATTCATTACATTATAGTCACATCCAAAAACCACTTCTAACATGGCCCCAGTTCTCACGCCCTGCTTGGAATTGTTTTTTTCTATTTCCTATCTCACTTTCAGCGCACAGCCATGCAATTTCGTGGACAACCTTTCCTTTCTGTGTAGGAGCAGTTTAGAGGTGGGCTGTCTCTAGGCAGTAACCCTGGGACCTGTATGAACACCAGCCTATGCTGTTTTTGGGAGTCTGGAGAGTCAGCGAATACAACTTCATTGTTTATTTTAGTGACATGTGGTAGCTCGTGATAGTTTTGACAGCGAGACATGCTGTTTTAATCTCATGGGTAAGATTATCCAGTTTTCAGGCTTGTCTCAAAACTCGCCAGTTCATTCACGCGCTGCTGCTGCAGAAGCCAGGGTTTGGAAAATGGCTGCCCATCAGAAGGAAGCTGTTACTTACAGTAGAGGTTCTTGTGTCATTACTGTTCCTTATTTGGTCTCTCTGGAGTCATTGGCCTTTTCGGCTTCAATTTTCTCATTGGTAGAATCAGATATTAGTACCTCTTATGGACACCAATTCAGTTGCTGAGTGTGTTATTACCTTGTGAGGTGTCTTTGAGTTTTCTGTGCCTTGGAAATAGTTGTTTTGTGTCCTGGTCTTCGAGGCATATTTCAAGTGAGTGCATTTAGAGTGTTACCATCTTAGGCATCAGTGTTTAGCTATGTTGTCCCAGTTAGCCTGACATCATCCTCAGTTTCTGAGTCAGGCCTGGAGCACACCTACTACACTTGTAACCATTTCCCAGGTGAAGCTGCTGCTGCTCGACCCCACTTTGAGAACCATGGTCCCATAGCTATTGGTATAGCTATAGTTAGTTTCTGATTACTGTGTCTTCTTCCCATTCTTTCAGTAATAGTATACCCATCTGAGATCCCTTTTCTGGCTCTTTCAGGCCAAGGCTTGGTACCTGCTCTTTCCCCTGCTGTTAACTAGCCACAGGGTACTTCACCATCCTGTGTTTATTTCCCTTAACCCTATCCACACCTTCCTAAATAGTTCCTTCATTAATTCACGTCCTCCGTTACCTAGTTTGAGTATGCTGCCTGTTTCTGGACAAGACTCTGGATGACTCAGTGCTTACTGAGGATTTTTTGAATTCATGGATGAGTCAATCAGACTGGGATTTATTGTTTCTGAAATAAAGGGCCTTCTCTCTTTTTCTCTTGGTCATCTTGCCCTTCCAGAAGAATAATTTAGGGTCTCTGCCGGGGGCCCTTCTGCTTAGAGGATCCCTTCTGTCCTCCCCATGCCAGAGATCAAGAACACTGGGCAGAGCAGGTAGTAATGCCAGTAGCATTGTTACATTTTCAGGACACTTTCAGTCTTGCTGATTGTAGTGCAAACATTTCAAGGACAAAGTTGCAATATTTCTAAGTGATGGCCAGCACAGTGTGCCTCTAATGATACCCTAGGCAAATTGGAATAGAGTACTAAAGAACTACTAAATATACATATACCCCCATGTTTGCGTACATGTGCATGCAAGTGTGCAGGCATATGCATGTGCATATGTGTGCGTGTGTGCGTGCGCACACACACACACGCCCTTGGTTTCAATGCTACACAGTGGATGGGAATTGCCATCCTTGTACTTGGGCGTATAGATGCAAACACCAACAGAGAAGCATGTAAGACTTGCCCTTTAATTAGCATCTGCAGCTGCTGCCATCAGAAGGGTCTGTCTCTGTTGGCCTGAACATTTTTCCTTTAAAAGAGCAAGTCCATTATAGCTCCAAGCCAGGCTCGTCTGTCAGCTGCTGTGCTTTCTCTGCTATCCGCAGGGTTGTCACACTGTTTAGGGCTGTTTCCCCATAGGGCTCTTTTTCCTCCTGCTTCCCCGGCTTTGATCACCGTGCCTTGGTGATCACCATTTGGGTGACCTACAGCTGTTCAGTGTGTGCAGGGACGTCTCTTGTCCTTGCAAAGATGGAGGATTGTTGCTTCAGTGCTGACAGACTGGTTATTTTCCAGCCCTTTGTTGTCAGTGATCTTGTCTTGAATTGCAGAAAGGCTCCAGGTAGTCATTGAAAAAAATGTACACAGCAGAAGTGATGGCTGTATTAAGGCCAGGTTTCATACAAGGGCACCTTTGCTGTAGAAACTTTCCAGTTGGTTGGAGTAGGGAGCCACATTGGCTCTATAACCTCACGATAGCGGATCTCAGTACAGTGCAGGGCTGGCTGCATCAGAATCACCCCAGTATCTCCTTAAAAATATAGATTCCTGGACCCCACCCATGGAGCTTGATCCATGAAATCTGAGTTGGTCCCTGGAATCCATATTTTTAACAAGCTCCCTGAATGGTTAGGATGGAAAGGAGACATACTTCATCCTTTTATACTAATTAATTAAAACAAAAAAATTTCATTTCATTAGAATTCCAACTCCATGAAGGTAGCTGTTTTCCTAACATCTAGAACAGTGCCTGACACATAGTAGGCACTCAAATATTTATTTGGGTGAATGTGTTTCATCTATTTAAAAATAGTGCTTACTTATCCAAGTGATTCTGGTGGGCAGGCAGGTTTGAGAGGCCCTGCCTTAGAGGACTTACCAGTCTAATTAGGTTAGGAACCATGCTGGGGGATCCACACCTCACTAGGTATCGCTGAGTAGTAAAACCAAATACTGTAAACCATCAGTCTGGCACAGTCTGGGTGGTAACTTTGGCCTTAATTTGTTCATAGTATTCTGTTGATGCTGGTCTTAAAGACCCTTAGTTTGTGACTTTTGATGATGCTTTTGGAGCCTCTTGATTTGGTACCATTTTTAAAAAGCCCAAAAGTGTTTTCTGAAAAGTGCCTGAGTCCTGGTTCTTTACTGTGTCTCTAAGCTCAACAGCAAGATGAATGGTTAAGCTTGGGTTTGCCACACCCAAGCTGTCTTCCCCATGGGCTCCATGCATGCCAGGATGAGCGACTACTCCAGTAAAATAGTTTTAGGATATGGATAACATCTTGGGATAGCCAGATCTACTCAATAAATATCCAAGTTCAGTTCTCCTAATGGTGCACAGTTGGAATTTTTTGTATGGTAATCTGGAATCGTGTTGGTGGGTCAGGTTTGATTAGCTTCTTTGATAAGGACCCAGTCTATTTAGAGGTCTGTCATTTCGTATGTCTTTTTTGGCCGCATGTTGTGGAGCATGCTGCCTAGCAGCTGTTGTAATTTTTGTTGCTTGTCTTCTCAATCAACCCTGGTTTTGAAGAAATAAAAAGTTGTTTGACTCATAGAAAAGACTAATCTAGTTTGGGCAGGGATTTCCAGCTCAGGAAATTTTCTTTTTTTTGAATAACATGCATATCTTTTTGCTTTTCTAAGAGGTGGTTCTTATTTTCTCAACTGTTTTACTGGTTATTACAAATAGACTCTTCAGGAATAGCTGCTAAGTACTAAATAGTGGCCAGTTTGTGTATTCTTAAAAGTTGCCTGTGGCTGCTACGCATTTGACTTTCTCACCCTTAAACTTAAAAGCTGTTCTATTCTTGACATCTTTAATAGAGCCAGATTAGAAAACCTATAACAGCAACGTGTCGTCATATATGCACTGTTCTTATTTTAAGACATTTCCGTTTTAAAAGTGTGACTACTTCTGTTATTATCTGTGAATTTTGGGGGGGATGTTTAAGATCTTTTTAATGGCAATATATATTTAAAACAGACATAAAAAATTAGCATTCACCCACAAGGCCTGTGGAGAACCAGGTTGGGATGAGTGGGTGAGCTATAGGCAACTAGGTGGCTCCTGTGGGCTCCTCTAGCACAGGGACCAGTAGCTTATGTCTGCTGTGAATCAGGAAAATAAAGTCTACCTTTTAGCTGCCTCCTCTTCTAAGTATTGCTGTTCTTGTTAGTTCATAGATGAAAACTTTTCAGCAATGGCAGCGTAAACAGAACCTTACTCTTCCAATCTTCCAGTATTTGGTTGAGCATCTGCTATGTGTAAGATGCCATGGGAATGGAGGTGCTCCCAGGTTATGCAGGGCCCTCCGGGAGGACTCGCAAGTCACTGCTTCCTCCAGGGGGCCTCTGGGGTGGGGTTGGCTTGGTGCTGGCCAGAGCCTTTACTGGACTAGCCTGGGGCCCTTGAGGCTATGTGCTGTTATCCTCGTTTGGCGTGGCCAGAGCTTGCTTCTAATTCTGGGCCAGAAGCAAACAGGCGTTTGGAGAGGGATGGAGAGAATTCACATCCCGCAGCGGTGTGCAGGAATCTGTGGGTGTCAGGCCCCATATTGGGAGGGTTCCTTGGTGTGGGAGACATTTTTTTGCTAATCAAACATTTTGCTTTATTTTCTTCTCGATTTCACCCCCTATGTAATGCTAACAAATGTAATCATTTGGTTTAAAAAAAAAAAAATCACAATAACGGGGCTATACTTCATCCTGCATAGGATGTCACTGTATTATCATGGACAGCTTTCCATGGCAGTATAAATGATTGAGTCCATTCCTTTTTAATATCTTCATTGTATCCCATTGTTTAGGTAGATCATATTTTAGCAGTCCCTTACTGATGGATATTTGGGTGATTTCCAGGTTGTTTTCTTCTGTGTTACAAACAGTGCTGCAGTGAATCTGTTTATCCAACTATAAACTATTATGAGTTCCTGTAAAATAAATAGTCAGAAATGGAATTATGAGGCCAAACAGTATATGTTCACATTTAAATATTTAATAGAGAGTCAGATTGCTTTTCACCCTGACTGACTGTTAAAGGCAAAGATTGTATCACATTTATTGCACGCCTCCTATGTTCTGCTGGGTGCTGAGGGGAATGCAAAAGGGGTGCAAAGAGGGTTTGTTTCCCTCTAGGAATTTCTATCTAGGCTGTGTACCTCAACCTAGCGAATGTCTGGGGTGTCAGTGCTTGTGGGTGGGTGAGTGGGTGGATTTAATTCAACTTTTCAAGCTTGCCTTGCAAACATTGTGCATGGTGTCTGGTACTAGTCTTTCATTTTATTGATTCTCTTGGGAAACGTGTGTAATTTCCTTAGGGCAGGGACCTCATTGTACGTGACTTGCAATATGTCTCACACATCTTCATTACTTTGTGGAGACATCATAATTATATCATGTCAGGCAGGATTTGAGGATCTAATTGAGATATTTCCTTTTTTGGGGGGTGTATGAAGAATTAATAAGTTTGGCGTTCTATACAGGTCATGGAATATCAGCCTGGAGGGGACTTGCTGTCACTTTTGAATAGATATGAGGACCAATTAGATGAAAACATGATTCAGTTTTACCTAGCCGAACTGATTTTGGCTGTTCACAGCGTTCATCAGATGGGATATGTACATCGGTAAGTGAGACTCCCTGGTAGAATTCTGAGAATTTATCTGTATCACCTAAGAGTTCCAATAATAGAATGCATGAATGAATGATTTAGGCATCAAAATAATGCTCCATCCAATTTTTAGTCAGTTTTAACTATAACTGGCTGAAACTAAATTTTCCTAACTGGCAGGCATTTCAGCTTACCCCATTCGACAGTGAAAGAGATCTAGACCTGTAACGCCCTCAAGTTTGCTAGTAAGATCTGTAAGCATAGTTAATTAAGACCAGGAACTCTTGGATGGGTTCTTTGGATTATATGGTAGAGAGACAGAATTTGACTTGCAGAAGGAGCCGACATACCATGGGGGAGGCAGAAGACCACAGAGTTGTACTTCTGATCTCACCTGTTAGTTATTTTCAAAGGTGCTTCGCAAAATGTTTCCGGGCGTCCTCACTCACCTGATGTGTTATATACACCTGAGAATGTTGTGGAAATGGAATGATGGTTAAACCAGGAATCACAGGAATCCTCTTCCTCTTCAATTTGTTTCGCAAAATGTGTGCTGATTATTTATATCCATCAATAGGGCAGTCTGTATAGCAAAATACAGACCTAAGATTCTTGGCCAGATCATAATCCTAGGCGAGCAGCTGCTTGTTGATTGGCATGGAGAAGACTGCACTAATTCATGGCCCACTTTTCTTACAGAGACCTCAAGCCTGAGAATATTCTCATTGATCGGATGGGACACATCAAGCTAGTGGATTTTGGATCAGCTGCTAAGATGAACTCAAATAAGATGGTAACAAAATGCAATAAGATAGCTCACTAGAGGTTGTCCTGTAAAGCATTCTGTGATCCTCATAAGTTTGGGAGATCCTGGGATAAAGCTGAGTGACATTTGCCTGCTAGTGCATGAAATGACTTCTCGAGGGGGATGAGAATGGGGGTGGCGACACAGAGCTGCTTCCCAGACTTACTGGACCTTGGCACCCTTTTATATATGATGCCTGTTCATACCCTAAAAGACATTTTTAGGAACATTCTTATAGTTTGGTTAAAAAGAAAGGAAAATGCTTATTTTGCTTTTCCCTTCATTTTCCTTGCCTGCTAGAGACTGTCTTCTATTACATTATGTCTTTTTTCCTCAAAATATTTTGATGAAATATAGTCTTTTTTATCTCAAATCCTCTTATTTTCTATATAGCAAAATTTAAATTAATCATCAGAGCATTTGAACCAAATATCCTAAGAGTTAAGAACCAAGTGCTCAAAATGTCAATTCTAAGTCCTGGAACTGTGGTTAAAATTAAAATATAATCCATGTGCTAAGTAGTAGGCAAGAGGGTAGCTATTGAGATCAAGAGCAAGAATACTTTAGGAAAAAGATGACAAAATAAAAAAAAGTTAGATGAAATAGCTTGTAAAAAAGTTGATACATATTAAAGTATGAATTTGGAAGTCAATTATGCAAAAAATGGTAGGTCTAAGAGAAAATCGACTTAGATTTTAAGACTAATTTCACAACCGAACCACTTGGTGACCTAGACAAGTCCTTATGAATTTGGCCTTTTATTCTTTCTCTAGAAAATACTGATTCTAGTAAAAATGCACAAAGTAAGGGGTTAGACAAGCTGCTCTTCAAAATGCCCGCAGCTGTGAGAATTAAGTCCTTTATGTAGAGGGCAATATGTAAAATTACCTTTTTTCTCAAATTCCTTGGAGGAAAGGTGGGTATTATTTCAGATTATGTTTTATAATCTATTCTCCTTGACCATTACATTAAGAATTAGACGATAGAACCAAAGCATTTTGTTTTAAAAATTATGTGCAATTCAGAAACAGGCATAAAAAACTTAGGTATTGAATTTATGGTGGAATAAAGCCCAGGGAAAAAAGTTAAAGCAAAAGTGTTATCACCTAGGATTAAAAAACGTATACATTGCACTCATGACCTTAAAAACTCATGCATCTAGAAATAAATTGAACCATAGGTACCTAGTCTGATAGTAACTGAAGCATAGGTACATACTCAGCACCACTGACATTTTGGTCTGGATAATCCTTGTTGTGGGGCTGTCCTGTGTGTTATAGGATGTTTAACTGCATCCCTGGTGGTCTCTATCCACTAGGCAGATGCCAGTAGCACTTTCCCCTCCAGTTGTGACAACCAAGTATGTCACCAGACACTGTCAAATGTCCTCCGGGTGGCAAAATCACCCCTGGTTGAGAATCACTGCAGTGGATTGAGAAGCACCCAAAATCTAGTTAATGAGAGCTAGCAATGATGTGTTTGCAATAAGAAAACCTGCTCTGGATGCTAGGCTAAGATCCAGCGTCACTACTTGGTAAAAAAATGGGAATTAGGACTAAGGCCCTGCCTCTGCATCTGGAGTCACTTTCTTCAGAGCCCTTTGGAGAGAGACAGGACTCCTATTCACTTCTGATTTCTGTTTTTCAGTGTTTCAAACTGCCCTTTTCACTTCTAATTGTAGCAACCTTCACACTAGGCAGGGAGCCTCCTGGAGGCACTCAGTTTTATTTGCAGCTCAACGATTTTAACCCTGGATTATTTTGGTAAAGGAGATGTGGCATTCAGTCCTGTACACTCGAAAGTATTGCAGCTCCTTTCCTCGTAGAGACAGAATCATGTCTCTAGAACTTCCTGCTTTTAGGCCCAAGAATATGCCAAGCAGAGAAGGAGGAGTTTTTAGCATTGTTTTAAGTGCAAAGGCCCTTTTATTACAGAAGACCAAGAGTCTGCAGTCTAGATCAAGTATGGATATAGAATTATAATTTTGGGGTATTTTTGATCAATGGTGGTAGGTTAAAAATGTCTTTTCTTTAAATAGAATATTTTATGGCCCTCCCTGGGTAGCTCAATTGGTTTGAACATTTTCACAATACCCCAAGGTTGTGGTTTCTATCTCTGTTCAGGGCACATACAAGAAGCAACCAGTGAATGCATAAATAAGTAGAATAGCAAAATCAATGTTTTTCTCTCAAAAAAAAAAAAAGTTTAAGTAGAATGTTTTATAGGCCTAACGTAGGTTTAAAATCTTTTTTGTACTCAAAATATACTCTATAAAATCGAATCCACATTGACTAAAATTATTGTATGTTACTTACCTCAAATCAGTCAGTCCTTTCCTCTACCACTCCCAAGTATTATTTGTGTATTTTGGATATTTGTGAATCTTAAATCTGTTGTGTTTTCCTTCTTCCATTGTCTTTATTTCGAGCTTCTTAGTCAGAATATTGCTTTGGAGTATTTTTGTTAGTAATCAAGGGTGGGCCATACTGCCCGGAGATTTGGGGGGTGAGCTGAGATGTGCCATTGACATACTGTGTGACTTAGGTCACCCACTTCACCTTATTAGAATCTCAGAGAATGGCAAACAGCTAACATTTCTAATCTATGTCATTCAGCTCTCAGGAAAATAATTGTGAGAGGATTATAAATAAAGATTATAAATCAGCCCCATTTAGCAGATAGAAACCCATAGGAGAGAGTCCCTTTTGAGATGTATGTAGTAGTGAAAAGAGCACCGTGAGAATTTCTTTCCCCCTGCTTCTGCAGAGGTGTATGTTTACACCCTGGGCAGCTAGGTGGGGAAAGGTAGGTTGAAGCAGTTTTATGTTAAAGCATTTTTTTGGAAGGGGCTTGGAAAGAGGAAGACTGTGGTTTTCTTCCCTTCTTCTCATCTGCATTCTGCTTGTAAAATAATCTGCTAGATTAATCCTTTTCTTTATTTTTTTAAACCCTCTTATCTCTCTAAATATGACCGACCTTTCTGCCTCCTAGTCATTTTCTTATCTCCTCCTGAACTGGTATATTTTCTTCCCTGTCGATATAGTGAAAATGAACTAAAGTTCATAAAACTGGGGCCTTGTCAGATGGTGTGCTGCAGGCAAGCTGGACTCTAGGACATGATTCCCCTTTTAATATCTCACCCAGCCTGGCCAGCTGTGAACTGCCCCCAGCAGAGAGGGAAAGCATTTTGCAAAATCCTTGTCAGGATGTGTGAGGTTACATGTTGAACTGGTTTAATGTGCTTGGAGGTCAGTTGCTAATGGAAACTTAGTAGTCATTAATAGTCATTAAAAGTCTTTGTTAATTACTATGGATTACTATAGTAGGACATGTACAAAAAGCAAGCTAGGGAGCATTTTTCTTTAAAATGTAGAAAACATACAAGTAAATGTCTATGATCACATATCTGTTATGGGCAAGAGTTAGCTGGGGAGTGACCTGACTCACTTTGATAAGTGTAATCATGAGTTTGAAAACGAGGCATTGGCAGCTTATACCCTTTGTTGGGTCAGGCCGATAAAGATGACCGAGTCAAGTTCCTTCCCACTCTTTGATCGTGAACAAATAACCAAGCCGTGTGAGCTGCAAACAGGGAGAACCGAATGCTCTCAAACAACATGGTGTGATGATAAAACCAAATGCGTGTAAATGATGCATATTTGAGGCTTGGTTCTGCAGGGCAATTAGGCAGAAAGGGTAAGCATTTAATCAGTGATTCGGTGGCATTACCAGTACCTAGTTAAATCAACGTATTATAGTCTTCTTTTATTTTGATGTTTAAAAGAGACTTGTTTCTCATTGTCTCTATTGAGGGTTTTTACCCAAACCCTTCGGTTTAATCCTAATCTGTGTTGAGCTCATTAACATTTACACACACATTGAAAGACAGAAGTCTGAGCTCATGCTTCCCCGCGTTGAGGTTTCCTCTTGATTTAAGCTACTTTTGGTTCCTCAAGCTTAGGCTCTCCTGTCTTAGACCATATATTTTCTCCTTTCTCCTCACTTTTGTCCATCAACACAGGCCTGTGAGTTTCTTGGGTGATGTGACCATCTGGCTTTCCCAAATGGGTACTTGCAGTAGAAAAACTATTGCCCAAAGCAGTGGTGTCAAGAATAACAGTACCACACTGCTTTCTGGGTTTACAGTTTGGAAAAACCTATGGTGGGCCCGAGGCACGGGGTAAAAAGGGAGGGCGTGGGGAGAATGATCCATGTCCTATCACAGTAGGTCTCGGGGGCAGAGGAATGGACAGAATTAAAGTTACAGGCTGGAGGAGCTTGGGTCTTCATCATGGGAAAGGAGACCTCCTAGTGTCCTCTCTAAACATTTGCTTTCCTCTCAATTTCTAGTCCAAGCAAAGCAAAGCAAATTCACTTTCTTGATATAAAGCTCAGCATTAAAGACATGTGGCCTTACCCATAAAATCTCCCAGCTCTCTCAGGGACACTTAAGATCCTTTAATGGGGAGAAGATTCTTTTGTGCCATGTAACTGCTGATGTGAGAGAAGCCTTTTTAGATGATGTAGGGTTATTGGACAGCCGGTCAACACAGTATATGACTAACATCAGGCCCTCTCTGGTTTATGGGGAAGGCTAGAGAGGTGGTCCTTAGACTTCAAATTTCATGGCTCAGTAAAACTTCAAAACAGTTTTGAAGACCAAAAGGGTTGCCAGCTTACTAAGTTGCATCAGAAGGGGTGAGGGCGAGGGGCAGAAAACCTACTTCTGTCATGAGCATCATTTCAAGAAATAAAGGACATTTAAACACCCAAACAGCCAGAAGGACAAATTTTCAGAAAAAAGGACAGTTCTTTAAATGGAATATATTTAGCTTTATAAAAAGACATCCTACATCGTCCTAATCTGTCTTTGTCAAGGTAAGGTGCTTGGGTGCCATTGGATTTGAGGGCCCTGGTTTCTGAACAGTGCAGGGGGTGGGGACCAGGGAACAGGAGCTGGGGGCTGAGGAAAATGGATTTATTAACAGTTGACCTCTGGTGCAAACTTTCATATCTTGCCCTGTGAATGGGCCACAGTCAGAATGTTGATTCCAAATATTTAAACCTGAGATATCATACATATTTGTAATATTGTATCGCCAGCTACCTGCTCATTTTTCAGTAATGGGTAGATTAATCTTATAGATTCATCTTTAGGATTTATTATCATTTTGCTGTTTCATAAGTAAGAGAAGTTCTATCATATCAGTAACATGTACCAGGAAAGATATTTTTCATTTCAGGAATATACGCCCCTGTCCTCGTGTAACCAAAGGGTATATATATCATCAACAACTCCTTGCCCTTTCACTTTGAATTATATTATGTGCTTAAAAAAAAGGAAGTCATTTGCATTTTCTGACAGTGTGCCACTTGACAGAAGGTTTAAGTGCCTGGAAGAATAGTAATCAGTGGCAAATCAGCTTGCATCTGAAGCGTGGCTGTTCATAATCTATTTGCGGGTAATTGAAAGCTGCTTGTGTTCATTTTATTTACGGGTTTCCAGGTGAATGCCAAACTCCCGATTGGGACCCCAGACTACATGGCCCCGGAAGTGTTGACAGTGATGAATGGGGACGGAAAAGGTGTCTATAGCCTCGACTGTGACTGGTGGTCAGTGGGAGTTATTGCTTATGAGATGGTTTATGGAAGGTCCCCATTCACTGAGGGAACCTCAGCCAGAACCTTCAGTAACATTATGAATTTCCAGGTAAAGAGCTGTTAGTAGATTTTGAAGATTATATTTCATCAAAATATTTAAAGATATGATAAATATATATGTTTTAGTTTTAGCCAAAGGGAAAAAGAGAACTGATTTCACAGACTTTTGTATCTCACCCAATTTATGGAATATTTAATACATATTTTTATATGTATAATACATATTTTATATCCTTAATACATGCATAGTTATTTGTTATTCTTGAGTCTCCTCTTGAGTTAAAGTTTCCCCTTAGATGATTCTTGGGGCTGATTTGTTTCCTTCATTTCAACCCACCTATTCAGTAATGAGTGGATTGCACTAGGTACTGTTAGGTACCAGGTTTACAATGATGAACGAGAGAAAGGCTCTGTGGGCCTTCTGCCTCCATCATCACACAAAAATCAGTACACAGGTATGTGCAAAAGCAGAGTTCAGAGGGAGGACGCGGGGGGAGTGGTGGGGTGGAAGAGGTAGGCAGGAAGAAGGGCTCGGCTTGGGGAGGGTGTTCTGGGCAGACAGAACAGTGTGATTTGTTCAGGTGGCTTTAAATAGCTCATCATTGTTGGACAGCCAAGAGCGAGATGGGGATTGGAGCTAGATGAAATGGGAGAGGAGCAGGGGTCAAGTCGTGAAAAATATTGAACCCTTGCAAAGAAACTAGGCCTATTGATGTGAACAGGCCATTTATTTTGGGAGCGTGCCTTTGGTCCAAAGTGAAGAGGGCACACCACTTCCTTCTTTAAAAAAAGAAAGAAACTTGAATATACGAGAAACACTTTCTTAACTTTGGGACATACGGAGTTGAATTTGCTAAGGAAATAATTATTTTATTTTTTGCAATAGCGATTTTTGAAGTTTCCAGATGACCCCAAAGTTAGCAGTGAATTACTGGATCTGATTCAAAGTTTGTTGTGTGGCCAGAAAGAGAGACTGAAATTTGAAGGCCTTTGCTGCCATCCGTTTTTCTCAAAAATCGACTGGGATAACATTCGTAACTGTAAGTAGAGCCATGTTCCTTCAATTCCGGGGTTGGGATTGAGAAACACTTGAGAACGATCTGAAATTATTGTGGCCCACAGAAGCGGGTATACATTATAAAAACAAGGGCTTTAATTATCTACAGGAATAGAAAAGGCTAATGATGTACTGCAGCTGTCTTTGAGTAATAATTCCACTTTAAACTTGTTTGCATAAAACTGGGTCATTTATCAAACTCTGTTTATGTGGCCTTTAGAATATTAGCCCTCAGTAAGTTAGAGAGATGGAGTTCGAAGGTGGTCACTTTCTTTGATAGAGTTTCTTCCCAGAGGAAAAGTGGACCTAGGTATGTCATTCACAGGTTAAGAAAAAGGCCAGAGATTAGGCAACATGCCCAGGTTGCTTTGCTAATTGCCAAGCCTGCAGGAAAACCGTAAATGCCTTGCTGTTGTCCATTTGTTTTCCTCTAAAATTTTTGTCTTTGCTCATGAGCATGTAAAATCTATAATGTATGTGCATAGTGGATTCATTCACACTTCGCTTTATAATCAATTAGTGCAAGCTAACTTCTTTAAAAACAAAGACCTGCTTTATTGTCAACAAAATCAGAATGCGTGGTTTTTTACAAATTGGTAATTTTTTTTTTAACCTTTTTTTATTGGATGTGTTGTTGATTGAATGTGCTCTAGTGACCTGACCTAATGAGCATAGATTAGAACCAGTAGGAAAGCAGTTGGCCTATTTGAGTGTGTTGCTGATGATGGGAGGTGGGAAAATGGAATCCATTTCTAGGTGTTAAAACTAGGCTTCTAGTTGGAATGGTGGTGTAATGATCACCGCTTGTACCTTCAGCTGGACTGTGTTGGGTTAAGATCCAGTATTGTCCAGTTGAAAGCCATTTTGATGGTTTCTCTAACATCCTGTCAAAATATTTAAGTAGGTTGCACTTCCATAAACCTGTCTTGGCAATTTTTTTTTTTCTGGCAGCCACATTGCTTTATTTTTCTAATCTTTAGGCATCAACCCCCAAAACTCCAAGGCCCCGAGCTTTTAATCAGCAATATATTTTCAGAGCAGTCTTCCTTTTTTGCTTTTAGAAAGACTTGATACAGTTTCTTTTAGTTGCTATTCAAATACTTAATCTTTTCTTGCCTTACCTTTTTATCTCTCATATTCTTCAATAAACAGCTAATTTTTTATGCATGCACTTGCGGATTATGTCTTAACAACATATCTTTACTCACGTCAGTCAGTGAATGGTGATTAGTTTATTTTGTGTTTTGGTAAACCTTGACTTTTTAATATTGTGTGTGTCAGAATTCTCAGATTTTGTTCTAGTCTTTTCCTTTCAGGCTGTTTGCAGGTTTTAGGCCTGTTGGGTTTACAAGTATAACCACTATTCTGTAAATTTTATAGTGTCCGTGGAGGATACATGTTGGTGTAGAATGTGGCCCATGCTGCCCATCATGAGGCCCATCTCTGAAGGTCATGGTTATCTTTGGGAGGAGATGACTTTGTGATGGATTACTAACAGTCTTGGCCAGCTTCACACTTGTTACTGCCGTACTTGACTCTCCATGCCTTCTGTGGCTATCTTAATTTTTCCATATCCTAATAATTACCCACTTAGTTTTTCCTGATCTTTAACACAGCCCTCCTCCCCTCCACATTTGTATAAGGGAATTCTCCTCACCCAACTGAATCGTGATTCATTTTTTTTTTTTTTTAATTTTTAAAGTAAAAATTATATATATTAAGGTGTACAATATGATGATTTGATATACATGGTGAAATGATTACTGTAGTCAAGCTAATGAATGTATCTATCTCCTCACAGTTACCTTTTTTCTTTTACTTTTTTGTGTGTGTATGGCAAGAGCACCTAAACTCTACTCCCTTAGCAAATTTCCAGACTTCGGTATAATACTGTTAACTGTAGTCATCATGTACATTAGATCTCTAGACTTACTCGTCCTACGTAACTCCAGCTTTGTACCTTCTGACCAACGTCTCCCCACTTCCCTCATCTCCCACCCCTAGCAACCAGCCTCCCACTCTCTGTCTCTATGTGTTTGACTTTTTCAGATTCCATGTATAAGTGAGATCATGCAGCTTTTTTCTTTCTGTGCCTGTCTTATTTCCCTTAGCATAGTGTCCTCCAAGTTCATCCACTTTGCAAATGGCAGGATATGTGTGTATCACAGCTCTGTCTCCATTCATCCATTGATGAACACCTGGTGGTTTCCATGTCTTGGTTGTTGTTGACTAATGCTGCCATGAACATGGGAGCGCAGCTATCACTTCGAGATACTGATTTCATTTTCTTTGGGTGTATAACCAAAAGAGAAAAGACTGGGTCATATGGTAGTTCTATTTTTAGTTTTTTTGAGCCACCTCTATACTATTTTCCATAGTGGCTGTACCAGTTTACATTCCCACCAACATTGCACAAGGGTTCCCTCTTCTCCACGTCCTCACCAACACTTACCTCTTTTCTTTTATATAATAGCCATCCTAACAGGTATGAAGTGATATCTCAGTGTGGTTTTGATTTGTATTTCCTTGATGATTAGTGATGTTGAGCACCTTTTCATACACCTGTTGGCTATTTATATGTCTTCTTTAGAAAAATGTCCTTTCAGGTCCTTTGCCCAGAATCCTGGTTCTTAAATCTTGATGGTCTTTGTTGACTTCTAACTCCCAGTGTAGTGGCTCTGAAGAGTCATGAAATATGTTGGCTTTCAAATTTTTTTCTTTTAATTTTAAAAAACTTTTTACTTTGGAATAATAGATTTATAGAAAGGTTGCAAAGATAGTACCAAGAGTTCCCACATACCCTTCTCCCGGTTTCCCCTAATGTTAACATCTTACATAACTATGCCACATTTGTCAAAACTCAGATTAATATTGGTGCATTACTGTTAATAAACTTCAGACTTGATTCTGATCTCACCAGTGCGCCCACTCATGTTTCTTTTCTTTTCCAGGAACAGAATCCAGGGTACCATGTTGCAATTAGAGTGTTTGCAGTTGAGGGACTAATCCCATCAACTAATGTAGCTCAGTCAATGGGTGGCATCTTCCTGCCCATTGAGGATTGGTAATGCCTTTTCCTGGAGGTTCCATGGCCTCCCTGACCATGCAAAGAGCCATGGTATTAATTTCACTGTCTCCTAGCAAATTTTCCTGTTTTTCACCAACCTCTGATCCCTGCATATTTGCAATCGATTGAGGGCTTTGTGATTGAAAACATTGCTGAACTCCATGCTGTTTGAGCTGTGTTCTAACTAGTTAACTCTAACAGAAATTATGCCTTTGTTCAGTCCTTTTTTTATAAACACATGTTGAATGACTTTCATCAAAAAACACACTTGAAGTCATTACGTTTCCCGAGTTCATGGTTGTCGCCCAGATTCTTTGTGCGTCCAGACTGTTGAATAGTCCACTTTCCACATACAAGAGTGTTCCTTGATGAAAGCAGCATTACCTTACCCTCTCTGCTGTTTCACCCCTAATTCTTCTTTTTTCTTGTTATAACTAAAGCAAGGAAGTACTGCTTAACACAGCGGGTAATAATATTCTAAAATCATTATCTCAAGAAGTGGTCTTGGCAGGATATAGAAATGCAATTTAAGAAGGGTCTGGGCAAATTTATGAATGACTGAGTTGGGAATGGCTTCTGAGAAGAACTTGGACAGGTCTTGGCTTTGATACTGAAGTCAGGTGGAGCATCTGTGCCCCATCCTGGGTCCTGCCCCTTAGGGTTGATAAAGGCAACGCCACATGAACCAGGAATCTGACCTGGTTCAGGAATACTCATTCTCTCAGTAAGTCAGAAACTCTGTGATGAGTTACTGCCACACTTGGGCTGTTAGTTGCCCATCACCCTGATGTTTCATTCCCAGCTTTATATAATCAGATGTAAGGTTGGGTTTTCAGCTGCTTATTATTATTATCATTATTTCAAGGCTGCTTTCCAAGTTCAGTCTGAACTCTCCAATCAGTCCTACTTTTTACCCAAATACTTAGGAGGGTAGGGAATCTTCCCTTAAAAATTATTTTCCTTTCCACATCCAGCCTGAGGCTGTTTGTCCTTGTGTGTACCACCCCCAGATTCATGTTTTCTTCTTATTTAGGACAGGGTTTCTCCATCTTGTCACTATCTACATTTGAGACCAGATAATTCTTTATTTTGGGGGCTGTTGTGTGAACTGTAGGAAGTTTAGCAGCACCTTTGGCCTTTACCCATAGATGTCACCCCTGCAGTTGTGACAACCAAAAATGTCTCCAGATATTTTTTGCCCAGTGTCCCTTGTGGGACACAGTCTCCCCCAGTTGAGAAGTATCGATTTAGAAGAATCAACCGGTTACCAGGAGAGAGAATATTACAGTAATTGGAATCCCTCAAGATTGCTGTTGGCTGACAAGCAGTGGAACCATCATCTGGGATCAGTAGGACCTTGTTGTGCAGTGTGGGCCATGGACCAGCAGCATCAGCATCAGCATCACCTGGGAGCTTATTAGAGATGCAGAGACTCAGCCCCCACCTACTAAGCCAGAGCTGTATTTTAATAAGATCCCCAGGAATGAGATTCCTGTGCATATTAGCGTTTGTGAAGCTTGGCAAGAGGAGAAAATTAGAGTTTTTTGTTCATTTTTGTGGGGTCTTCCTAGATTTGTGCTGTGGGCTCAGGGTAAGGCGAGACTGCTTTTTGGCTAAGAACTTCGATGGGTAGTTGGAACTGCTTAGAAATGCCAAATTTTAGGCTCTGCTTTTGAGGAATTGAAAGCTTTCCTTCAGATGGGCTTTAATTTATATTCTTCATATCTTTCAAGATGGTGGCTTAATTTAACCTCCACCTGTTGGTAGCAAGTAGTTGGCTGTGCAAAGGCATCTTTATGCCTCCCCACACCCGAGCTTACTGTTATTTTTCTTTAAGGCTGGATTAAGTTTTTTATCATTAACACTCTTTTATGCTTGTATTATACTGCTGTGCCATTTATTGAGCACCTACTATG